CAGAAGTAACAAACCAGGGAGGAAATGGCCTGCTTTCAATAAGTTCCTTTTTGTAACTTAGAGTGCAATTTTTGGCTAAAAATCAGGCTAGTGGTCTCGAAAGCATTTCTGTCAATGTGACTTTTTCCCCCTTTCATTGCTGCTTTGTTTATTTATGACAGAATTACTTCTGACTTTATTAAAATCAAAGCGAATGTATCTCAAATTACGAGAATATCAGTAGACTTCTCTCCAAATTTTTTAAATGTCTCATCTCTCTGTATCATTGTTTTTAACCAGAGCAGCAGCAAAAAGAAACCTTAACAAACAGGAAAAAGGCTTTTTACTTCTGACCTGTAAAAGTCTCCGCCTAAATGTAGCGTGTTTTTAGAGACACAGGAGAGAGAGATTTGAAAGCGGTCTTTTGTGTGTGGTGGGTTTTGTTTGTTTCTTAAGAAGCAGAAGAAAATGTGGGGGTTTGGGGAAAGCATACTGGCCATAGCTTTGGCAACTTGCCGTAAGAATTTTCGTGTTTATTACATTTCTTGTTGCATGGGGGAATTCAGTAATAGTCTGTGCTTTCAGAAAAGTGAAAGAAATGGGAGATAGCCTTAGTGACTCGCTCCTTGACAGATTATCCCCTCTGAGATGTGTCACAGTTCAGGTATGTTGACTGTCAGACCGTGCTGAAATGTTTTTTTGGGGGATTTCTGGATGAGCAAAGAGTTGAGCTGTATTGCTGATGTAGGATGACTTTTAAAGTCATATAAAATACTGTGCCTGAAGTGAGATTGGATGGTATTTTCACTTTAGAAAAAATGAAGTGTAAAGGTATTGAACCCATGGAATATATAAACGTGCTGTGGTTTTGCTTTTCCTTTGTCTTTGCAGCAACAGACAAAGTAGCTCTGTTAATAGGAAATATGAGCTACTGGAATCACCCCCAGCTCAAGGCACCAATGGTAGATGTCTATGAATTGACCAATTTGCTGAGACAGCTGGATTTCAAAGTTGTTTCTTTGCTGGACCTTACTGAGTCTGAGATGCGCAATGCAGTGAATGAATTTTTACTTCTCCTGGACAAAGGAGTGTATGGTAAGAAGATGCGATGCCCCTTCTGAAGTCGGTCAGGCTTGTGATGTATCAAGTATGCAAATACCTGGTAACTACCTCTGCCAGCTCACTGTAGGTGACAGCGAAACAAACTTCGTGGCAAATAACATGTATGTAGGTGGGGAAAAGTAAGTTAAAAACACCCATCAGCTTTGGTTATTGACTTTGGTTAAAGTGTTACTGCTTCTTTATTTTTAGAACAGGTGAAATATTTGAACTTTTTTCTTTAACCACACCCAGAACTGCAATGCACTTTTTTGTTTGATGGTACGGATGTGTTTGTCTGCTAAAAGCTGCTGCGTCTGTATAGTGTAATTGACAACACGCTCTGCAGAAGATGCACATTTGCACTAAGAAGTCACTAGTACTAGTTTGTAGCAGTCTTTTAAGCAAGAGCAAGAACAGTCTGTTATGTTGCCTGTATTAGTGTGTTATGCAGAGTCATTGAAAACTGTGTAACTGCAGTATACCAGACTACATGAAGTCTTGGGCAGCAGTCCTTGCAGCTTTTAGGAGTCTTCTTAAACACCTTCTTTGTAAACTTCTACTCTGTTGTCCTCCTCCCTTCCCCGTGCCTGCAGATGAATGATTTGGTTCAGGCTGGCCAGTCCCTCGGCACACTTGGGCTGCTAGGGTGCATCTCTGTTGGGGAGGTGGGGAGCAGCCCGAAGCATGGCATGGACTGTGTTCTGGGCTTGCTGGTGGGACCCTTCTGTTCACCCCCCGTCTTTCTACTGGATGTCTGCAGAATGCGATTTCCTTCTGGATTTCCATCCTTCTGGCGCTCTGTGGGAGGGGCTGCTGGTGCTCTTAGTCCTGGCTCGCCAGCTCTGTAAAGAACAGAGGAAGAGGGGTGCTTTGCTTTGCCTTGGCTGTGAGCGGCGCTCTGATACCAGGTGTGTTGGGGGGGACGGGGGGCAAGAGAGTGGGACATGGTAGCAAAGATCTCTCTCATGAAGGTGTTATACGCTAAAATATGCAGTACAGAAATAAGAGGAAAACATTGTGCTTTAGAGTTAGGGTATAACACTTAACAGATTGGATGCCATGTCTTTTGCCTTCTCCTTTTTTGCCAAGTTTTCAGGTTAAGTAGAAATCCTTATTTTGAATTGCTGGTTCCTTTCAGTTATTGTGGTACTGGCCTGGCAAGCACAGAGTTTTTCATAATGTCCTTGACAGGGAGTGAGAGGGAGTTGTGCAAGCCTGGATTTCTACTTCAAAAAGCAAATTGAAAAGAAGTTTGTTTATGTAAAATTACAGTGTAGTTCTCTTAAGTTATGTCTATGCACTTCAAAGAAGTAAAATAAAACAGGGAACAATTCACGTTATCCTTTGCAGAATATACCCTGAGTAAGGAAAAGCATTAACTGAGAAATCGGAGAGCTGTGGCCTTTCTGCAGTTGTCAGTAACAAAGGACTTTTCACCGAGTTGAATACGAAGATCCCTGTTCGGGCAGAGCTCAGGTTTTCCAGCTCTGTGGAAGGTCTGAATACAGAGTATAAAATTTATTATTTCCATGTGTCTTTGCACATTAGATGGAAAACTTAATAGTGGTTATGCTGCTTAAGCAGGCAGCAGCCCTCTTTTTTGGGAGGGTGGGGTTTTTTTCTTAAACTCTTAAAAATAGTACCCCGCAAAAATCCAAGGCTCTCGCCTCTAAATTGCAGCATCACTTTAATGATGGTACTGCAGCATCTCACCAGTATTGGTTTAAATTACAAGAGGACAAATTAAATAAAGTATGCATAGTAAAAGATGTGCCTTTAACACGTTTCTCTTTTTTTTTTTTTTTTTTTTCTTCTCTCTCTAAGCTTTTGTTTGAGTCATACATCCATTTATAAGATGCCTGTAATTGAATATTTATAAGAATTTTAAGCTCTCCTCCACATCCAGCACAGGAGGTGCCTTCTGCTGGGATAATGACCAACCAGCCAGGTCTGGTGTGCATTGCTACTACTGATACACATTGATTCTTAGATGATTACTCATATATTGGGATTCCTTGTCTCGCATAAACTTGATTTTGAGAGACAAAGCGCAAGACAGAGCTGGTGGCTGTGCTGCTGGCTGGGGGAGGGCACAATGGAATTGATGAACAGAGCAACAACCTCCATGTCTTGCATGGAAAAGGCTTAGAATGACCTGGCTTAGAGTGTGAGGAAAGGCCAGTGGGCTTTGAGGAGTTTGCTGCTGACTGCCACTATTTTTGTCATTTTTCTAAAAGCTAAGGTTGCATAAACGACTCCAGAAATGATTTACAGCAGAGACCAAAGAGGTCTTCCAGTTGTCCTGTTTAAGTTGCAGATTTTCGATAGTAACACCCACACGGGAAAACATTATTGATTCTTTTTTGGAACACAAGGTCAGATTATTTCTTAGTATGACTTCTCTAATGGTGTGTTACCTGATGCTCCGTCTGGGCAGAACTGGCTGGTCTGACATTTGGGCATTTATGTCAGAGCCAAAACTTGCATGACATGAAGACTAATTATGGCAGTAGAGTTTAGTAGACTTTCTAATAGCAGTTTTCTTTTTTTTTTGTTCCCTGGGAAATAGATGTGCTTATCCATTTGAGTGAGCTTTTAGGTTCTTGCACCTTCTCAATTTTTTTCTATAGTTGTTGACATGAATTTAGAAAGTAAAGTACTGAAAGGCTTTAATGAGTTTCTCACCAGCACCATATGAAAGCTCTTACAAGGCATAGTTTTGCAGTTGTGTTTTTCCAGCAAGTTGATACTTCTGAAGGGTACCTCAATTCAAATGGTCATTTTGTTCTTTCTGGATAGTGGCTATTAATGGCTTAAAGCATATAAAAGATGCTGTCAGTGCACAAATAGATAATGATTTATTGAGGCATAGTGGCTACTTCTGTTTAGTTCTTGTTACACATATCGGTGATGCCTGTACGACATTGCGTCGTTCTTGCTTACTGCCAGGAAAGTGGCATTTCAGATACCATTCCCTAAGAGCAGGAGCAATAAACAAAGTAATGATCATTGTCTCCTCTAATGTCTTAGTTTATGTTGTTCTAAATGTAGGGTGCGATTAATATTGTGTTCTACAAAGGGTAAAAGCATAGACCCATATGTTTTAAAGGCTAAAAATAGGTAGGCTGCCTTCTTAAAAAAAAAAAAAAAAAGGGGAGAGAGAGCAAGCAAGAGAGGCAGATATCACTTAAATGCTGACGACTATGAGGAACTTGAGCCTACTTAAAATTGTTGTGTCAAAGTGTCTAATGAGGCCCTCCAAACATGTTTACTCTACTTACTCTGGGTATGCAGAGACTTATTTCTGATCTTGAGCTCAACATATTAACTGTTGCAGGTACTCATCAAGTAAACACGGCACAGTTGTCTGCCATGGATATAAAAGAAATGTAGTTATTTCTGAAATACTGCTACTCATGGAGGAAATACTCTGATAAATCATGCTTTACATTAGAGACTTGTTTCCCTCGGTCAGTCCAATTACTGATCTAACATACACCCCGATACATATATTCTCAGATATAACCTTGATTGAAGCCCAGGCCCAAACTCTGTGGAAATAAAATTTCAGAGTTTCCTTTTAACTTAGGAGCTGACATGGAGTCATGCACGTGCCGCTTAACTTCATTTTTAACTCTTGTGAAACTCTCGGGCAGCCATTGGAATCTTACAAACAGCCTAATAGTACCTTTATTTGTTAGGGTTTTAATAATACACTTTCAATTCTGTGGGCTTTAGAAATCTTACTTTTAATTGAATGAAGCTGTTGCCATTTCCAGGACCCTGGCAGATGAAAAACCATCCGGCTCTTTGTTTAAGTGAAGCCTTGTGTCCTGGAGTTTACCTTGTAGGCACTTGCTGGCTGCTTATCTCGACTGCGTGTTTCCCATAAAAAGCAATGGAGCGCTCTTGATTGCATGGAGCGGTTTGCAAGGTCTTGGCATAGTTGTTAATGACTCAAGAGCTTACGCCTAGAAGAGAACTGAAGGCTTAGTTTGAAGGGCTACAGTTATATCTTGGTATTCCTTTACAAAAAGCGCAGGGCTGTGCGAGAGAAGTATTTTCATTTGTTGTAGCTATCTAATGAAAAGGTAAGAACGTCTCGCATACCTCCCTACACCAGCTGATTTAAATGTAGGTTGCTGGAGTAGGTTAGGGTAAGGCTTACTTTGTTTCTTCTGAATATTCAAGTTTTGAAGTGACATCAATTTCACAGCAATTTTTAGTAAGAATAATGACATAAGGCGACCGTATCTCCGGGTAGTATAAATTGTCGTCTCACTGTTGACTTTTATACAGCTGCAGCACTACATACTAACAGAAGATCTGACCCATAGACTGCTTTGTATAGATAAATAAAAATCCTTTTTAGAAGATGCAACTTGCCATAAACAAAAGCAGCACTGGGAAGAGACAGCCGGAAAACTCCCTTTAATCCTACAAGCTTCTGGTAACTGCGTTTTATGGCGATTGAGGTTATTAATGCTAAGATCATCTAATCTTACTGCAAATTGATACGACTTTAGTAGCTGACATTTCTATTCCTATAAGTAAAATCTAAGCAAGCCCTAGGTTGCGATTCTCTTTCTCAGGGTTAAGAAAAGCTTTTTTTAAATTCCATTGTATCTTTTCTTTATACAAAACTATGGCATGTTTTATTGAAGATTTTAAATCTTAAAACCTTGTAGAGTGTTGCGTATTGACATGAGGGAGAAGCCTGTGGGATAATCTTTAGTGTCTAGGTAAGCACACAAAGAATTGGTTTCTTCAACAGAGCCCCAAGAGTATGAGGCTGTAACTGCAGAGATGTAGATGTAACCAGCTCAAACCACGTTGGTGGTGGTTTGGGAATGGGAATGTGCTCTGCAGTCCTACCAAAGATGATTACTGAATAATTGTGTTTGGGGTGGGTTTTTTTCTTCCCTCTAAATGAAAAAATGTTTCTTATCCCTCCCTACAAAAGACAAAAACAAACAGAGAAACTGACCCTACAGAGGAGACGGCAAAACTAGAAACTTGCAAAACGCTCTTCTAGGGCAAGCAAGGGTTTCCTCTGATTTTCTTTTTTTCTAGTTAAGTACTTCTAAGAATTGCCAATGATTAATGGTAGGTAAAAAATTTAAAGGAGAATAATTCTGAAGGTGACAGCATCTCTCATATAAAACAAAAAAAGAAAAGAAAAAATCCATCCAAACTGCTCAGCATTATTTTTGTATCTATTTCTTTTCTATCTGTTTTACAGTTGGCACATTTCCTCGTTCATATCTGTGAGTTACATATCATACATAAGGGATTATTTCTGCTAGAGGCCATAACTACTTAAAGCATTTTAAGAGTATTTAATTTTGTGTGTTTGATGCAAATATCTAATTGATTCTATTGCATGACTGATTTTTTTTTTCTTTTAATTTGTTGTGTCTGTGTGTTGTGACGCTGATGTTTGCATGGTCCGTGACCCCCCCTTCCTTCCTATACTAACAAAGGCATATCGATATTAAAAAAACCTGCTTGGAGTAGCTTGAATTCTCTTAATTTCCCACAGACCCGTAGCGCATGGACATAGTGTGTGAAGTTTTTGACCGTGCTGAGAGTTGTAGAAATGTTCCGAGGCGCTCCTGAACTGTTTTCAGTCACGTGTATTTTGAACCCTCAGGTTTGTTATACTACGCTGGCCATGGCTATGAAAACTATGGAAACAGTTTCATGGTTCCCATTGATGCTCCAAATCCCTACCGGTCTGCAAACTGTCTGTGTGTACAGAACATCCTCAAACTAATGCAGGAAAAAGAGACGGGACTTAATGTATTCCTACTGGATATGTGTCGGAAAAGGTATAATCCCATAATTCATGAATAGTGAGAACCGACATTAGATGTTTGAGGGATGTTTTTGCTTCACGTTGGAGGGGGAGGGTGTAATGACTGTAGTTTTGGGAACCAGCTGTGAAGCTCAGTTTAGTCCCTGCAGCAATGGATTAAAACTGAGCCTGTTTTGAAAACGAACAAACAAAACTGAACAGGCACTTTGGGAGAACAGCAAGGGATCTTGAGAGAAAGCTGGACTTCACGCTGAGGAGAGATCTTCAGTCTAGGCTGAGAATTCACTGTACTTGGAAGTTCATGGCTCTGAGAATTCACAGCCTGCACCTGAGTGCCTTTAAAGTCAATAGGATTAATTCATAGACTTATTTTGCCTTTGGCCCTGGGTGGAAATGTGAAGCTGATGATTAGACTTTCTGTCTCCATGGGCAGATGCTTGCCTCTTGATTTGAATGACGTTTATTTTGTGGGGGTTTGTTGTTATTTAAAAGTTATAAAGTGTCAGTCTTGCTTCATTTCACTTTTATCTAGTATCTTAAGATGAATGACCCTTCCCCTTGCATCATTAACCATCTTCCTTGTAACAAGGGAGGAAGGAGAATCCTTATCAAAGGCATGCAAATTCGACAGAAGGGCTCAAGTGAAGTGCTTATTTTAGAACTCTTCAGAGGCCTGGATTTTGCGGACTGCTTTTATGCTGGGGATGTTGTCTCTTTCTTTAGAGCAGAAAAAAATCGACCGGTTTATCGGGCTTTTCTAAGCAAAGTACTACATTTTCTTTCCATGTTAAGGGACTACTATGCCCGATTGAACTTGCACTTGAAATCAGCTCTTCAGTCAGCACTTCTGAAAATTGGTCTCTAAGGAATATTTCAAAATAAAAAATTGCTAGTACTTTAGTATTTGTAGAGCCTCTGAGCTTCGCTGCTAATGAAATGCCAGTGACACAATTCAGCTTCACAATCTGCTGTCCAAGTAGAAAATACTGCAATGTAAGCCTCATGTTAACTATGCAGACACCATGTTTGGGAAAAGAAAAAAAGAAAAAAAAAATTGTCTAGTTTTTGTTATAACCTAAAATGGTTAGTTATCAGAAATAATTTTTTTAAGTGATTGTAGCCAAACTCTGTGTTGGCCGCTATAGCATGCCCTCGTCTGGGTAATGCGTGATATCTGACTGTGTCTTTGCCTTGTCTTCGTGAAGAGTGTTGGTGATGCTGATTTTTGTCTGTTAGCAGTCAGGATTCATTCCAGAATGGTAGGAGAGAATAAAATGACTGTTTCTGAACTATGCTGTTTTGGTATTTTGAACCACTCACTGTAGAGTTTGTTACCATTATTAGTTCTCAAATTATTATTTTACTTTTTTGTGTTTCCCTTTATTGCAGAAATGAATATGATGACACAATTCTTATCTTAGATGCTCTGAAGGTTACAGCCAACATTGTTTTTGGATATGCAACGTAAGGAAGTTTTTCTCCTGCTATTCCATAGATGTTTTGAGCCAGAAGTGACCGCTGAGATTGCATAGCTCAATTCTTACCAAAAAATACTAGCTGTGGTGCTAAAGGACCGGTAATTTATATCCATATCTGTGTCCTCACACTACATTTTCTACTTCATTCTTTGAATCTTTCCACAGCCTAGCTGACTGTGGAAACACATACGTAATGATTCCCAGTATTTAATGTTCCCGTTTAGATATAGGATAACGCCAGTGAGAGAACTGCATTCAGCAAACCAGAAACTTGCTGGGCAGCGTTCCTGATCTCTTTCTAATGGTTACTTGTAGGAGTGCTCTTATTTATTAGAGGTGAAAAAAAAGGCTGAGAAGTAAACAGCAAATTTTACCCTCAGACTCGTAGTGTTCTGTTTCTTTGTGCTGATGGGAAGGGGGAGTCAGGTCCTGTGTGTTCCTAATGGTACTTACTGCACTGTGAGCTTGTACAGAAGGTCAAGTTCTGTGGAGCAGATGATGAACTGTAACTCACACGCAGCACTCTCTTCAGCCATGTGTCTCCTCTGTTAATGCAAGTTAAATTTCTAGAAAAAAATGTGTTAGAAATATAAATGAATTCCTTTTTTCCTCATGTAGATATTAATCATGGAGGTGTTTCAGTGGTTTTTTTCTCTTGTCTGATATTGATGATCTCATAGTTGCCAAGGAGCAGAAGCTTTTGAAATTCAGCAGTCGGGGTTGGCCAATGGAATCTTCATGAAGTTCTTGAAGGACCGTTTGCTAGAAGACAAGAAGATTACTGTACTGCTTGATGAGGTTGCAGAAGGTGAATGTCAGCTTAGTGCATTAACAGTCTTCTCAGCCTGCACTACTAAAAACTTCCTTGCTTAAATGTCTTTCTTCTCATGGTGAATGTGTTGCACTACTTCACGCTCTTTCTTGTTGCATTTTGTTAAAATAGCAGCTTTTATCACATTAACACATTAGCATTTAGCACATTAACAAAGATCACGATATTATAAGGGGATTTGAGCTTCTTTAATAGTGACCAATTTTATACTCTCCTTTTTAGTGAACCTTACTTTTTTCTGAGTGTCTTTCTGCATGGAGCTTTGAATTGTCCATCCACAGAGATTACTCTTCTGTCCTGTGTCAGCTGCTAGTGGTAGTCCAGTTATTCCCATGTTCATTTAAGCAATTAACGGAGTCCTACCTACCTCAAACAGCACTGTAGTGATGACAACTATTTGCTCTCTATCAAAGGGTGTAAGTGCATTATAAACGGCAATCCACTGTTTTAATATGCCTGGTTCAGTAATTGTCTTTTATAATTGATGGGAGAAGTGCTAAAGTGGAAACTGTTGAGGGAAAATGTATTACTTCTGTGCAAACATTTGCTCAAAACTTGAAGAACAGATAGGGCCATCAACAAAGAGCCGTCTGTATAAGGTTCTGTTATTTGTAGGTAATGTACACAATCAGCCAAGTTCTGCTGTGGTTTCCCGTGTACTTGGTGCAGCTGCAGGTCTCAGAATGTTGCCCAGTCTGTCTTTTGACAGGGATCCAAAAAGCAGAAAAAAATCCAAGAGGATCCTAAATGCACAGTGAAGTTCTGCTGTCAACAGGTCACTGTTGAAAATGAAATGCAAAGATTTCAGCAGTATTGATTTTGAGGGAACTATATGCATCTTCTTTTTAGATATGGGCAAGTGTCACCTTACCAAAGGCAAGCAAGCTTTGGAAATCCGCAGCAGTTTGTCGGAGAAAAGGGCATTAACTGATCCCATTCAACAAACCGTATCTTCTGCAGAGTCTCTGGCACGGAACCTACAGTGGGCCAAAGCTCATGGTATAGTCCAATCTACTTTTAGATGATCTTACTGGCATGATGGGAAAAATAAGAGGATGTCCTTCCTTAATAATCTCTATTCTGTGGGTTGTGATATTGAATGGAAATGGAATAAATTCAAGTTGATATCTGAATTTTCATTAATATGTTCAGATCCTGGAAATTTTTATGTTGGGGTTTACCTCTACATGAGATTATAATGAACCAGGTGGCCTGCAGAATTCACCCTGAGTAAGCGAGTTTAGGACCATTCAGACACTGTAAGGGAGACTTATATGATGTCCACTTCCTGGGATAATCTCCCAGTAATCTGTTTGTGTCTAACGGTGAAACTGGTAAGACATCAATAGTCTCATTCTGAAGTCCTCACCTAAGATAGCCAGGTGAGCTGTGTGGTAGACGTGCATGACAACAAGGAGTTTTCAATGTGTACAACTAAGAAAATAAGGGTGAGATCCGTTCCAGGCTTTCTAGACTTCTTTTAAGAAGGGTAGTGGGGTTTAAGACCTTTTTATCTTTTTCACCTAAATATGTTGGAGTACATTTTAAGATTTCTTTGAAGGATTGGGCAGAGGGTCAGGAGTGGCATTTTTATGACAACCAGTCATGTGGGCAGACTCTTTCACAGCTGTAGGTTTTCATTTCTGGAATCGAGCCCTTAATTCTTGTTTGTAAAAAGATTGAAATGCAAAACAAACATTATAAAGGCATAATAATATCTTACAGTTTATTTGGTTTAAGCCATTCATAGAAGAGAATGTGTTTGGAATTTGGGAAGAGAATAACCTTTATATTTGTATGAAGGTATGTCTGTGATAATGTTAAATAATCCACTTCCAGTGGGAGTAGAAAAATCAGTACAAAGCATGCCAACACAGAATGATGTGGCTTGAGAAAGATCCAAAATAAGAAGAATGATGCTGTGGGCTGGGCTTTGTGGATGTGTGCGTAGGCTGTGAAAGGGAAAAATGAACCTGAAACTTGTTCTGTCAAAGTCAAAGGTTCTTACTGTGTCTCCTATATATTGGATGTATACCATATTAACCTTACAGATAGGTAAACAAGTTCATGGGTCAGTAAGCTATACCCTCCTTGCAGTGAACGTTGCCTTGCTAGTTGCACGGAGACCGGAAAGAAACCTGCGAAGCAGAAGCCGAGTCCGTTCTCTCTGGCAGTGTCTGCCAGTTACCTGCGATACTGGCAAACGGTGCTGCTGCCTGGTTAGCTTCTAATCCAGCTTGCTTCGGTGTGAACGTGTAGATGATAGGTAGAGGGAGGGCAAGAGGTCTATACCTATTAAAACTTCTGAGTTTGAAACCAAACTAAAATAAAAACAGAAAGTACACATGCTAAGTTTTATGTAGAATGTAATGATATGTTATTTATTTGCAGAGCTTCCAGAAAGTATGTATCTTGAATTCAAATGCGGCGTTCAGATTCAGTTGGGGTTTGCAGCTGAGTTTTCCAATGTCATGATAATCTACACGCGAATAGTAAAGAAGCCGCCTGAAATAGTAGTTTGCAGAGCCTACGTTACAGACTTCGCACTCGTAAGTGCTTGCTGTTGGTGTCTCGGTGATCTCCCTCTGCTCGAGTTGAAAACTGTCTGTTTGGTCCATGTCAAACTGCTTATTTTGTAGTAAAATGAGTCTAAGCTGTTGAAATTGGGTGCTTTTATTTATGCATGTTTTCAATATGTTTAAAAATACATTAAAATTAATCTGAGGTCATCTTTTTCCAAGTCTCCTTTGTTTATCATTGTCTAATTATCAAGTATTTGTTATATTTAATTAAAGAAGTTAAGTATCGGTAGCTCCTGTGTGAGCTGAGGACACATCGACCTTGCAGGACAAGGTTTCCTAAGCTTTAGTTTTACAGTTCTTTGCACCTGGGTGATCCTGTCCAGTTCCAGTGATGTTATTCAGCTGATCACCATAAAGTAAAGGATACGAGTAAAACAGAAGGCTCCTTGGGGCAAAAAACCTTCTTTTCTGATATCTGTGAAAGAGGAAATGGGGCAGAAAACCTTTTTAGATAGAACAACCAGGATGCCTCTGATGCATTAGGAATAAAATGCATAATAAATACATGCATTTTTAGTCTGCAGAATTAGCGTTGTAGTACTGTACTTACAGAAGTTAGGTAAAAAAGAGCAACCCTGACGCCAGCTCAGCAAGTTTGACAGGAGCCATCATCAAAAGAGGGTAACCTACTCAGATATAACCCCTTCTGCCTGTGACTAACAGTGATTTCAGCAGCTTTCGCAAGTAATCCAAGACTGGTGCTTGCTTTCTCTTTAAGAAGAAGAAAATGCTGACTTTATAAAAATAAATACGCTAACTATTTTATGATCTGCAAATTCTGTACCTTCAGTTAAGTTTTCTTTTTTTTTCTTGCGACAGGACCTGGATGTGGATCCTAAAGAGGCCAATAAAGGAACTCCTGAGGAAACCGGAAGCTATTTAGTGTCAAAGGACCTTCCCAAACACTGCCTCTACACCAGGCTAAGTTCACTGCAAAAGCTAAGGGTTAATACATATTATTCTCACTAGTTTGTTCAGATAATTTAGATTAATTGTGTTGCTTTGCAGTTCTGTTGAGGTAGCTGTATATTGTCTGCATAATAAGTCACATGTTCTTTGGAGGGAAAGAATGGCTGATAGCACAATTTAGTGACTTTAGTTTCTTATCAGATAAATAAAAGCCAGGGAATCAACACCTATGCAATCTTGATACCGTTGTGCAAGGCACTCTGTATTTTCTAGGCCCACACTGAACTTTGACAAGATGATTATTTTTGTAAAGATGAGCTGTTGCATGCTGTGGGGATGCTCCTGTGCCCTGTAGTACAAGAGGAATGTGGCCTGGCACAGATCTGCATCTTACAAAGTCGATATGTAGGAGATGAAAATGTTATGTATCGTCTCCTTCCATTCCAACCCGTGCTGTTGCGCACGGAGTTTTTGAAAGGTTCTTGCTTCAACATCCTGTGGCACTGTTAAGTTTATATCTGTACCTTTGTGTCATGAACATCTGTGCTGGACATCACTTGATGCCTCTTCCTTTAGTGCTCTTGGCAGCTGGTGTAATATAAGTACTTCTAGAAATAAAGACTGTCGGGTGAGCCAGCATTAACCAAAAGAGGTCCTCAGTAAACAAGGCTTGCCTAATATGTGTCTTTAGTTCCTAAAAAGGTTAGTCTCCTCCTCTAGTAGACTATGCCTCTTGAAGTGTTTTCCTGTATTGTTTATTTGGGAAGGAAGTGTAACCTTTTTTTTTCTTTTTCTCCCCATCCCCCGCGCCCCTTTGCAGGAACACTTGATCTTCACTGTTTGCTTGCACTATGAGTACCCAGGAATAGAAGATACAATGGATGAAAGAAAAGAAGTTAATGTTGGGAAGCCGCTTATTGCTAAATTAGGCCTTCATCATGGATTCAAAACTAATAACTGTCTCCAGACCTGTTGCGTGGCTAGTAATCCTTTTCATAACCAGATAGAATCTAGTCCAGTGGCAACTAAGTACTACATCCCTGGTCATTGCCAACCAAATTCCTGTCCAGGCGTTTACCATCCAAACTGTATCTGCTTACACAGCATCAGACAGCCAGGAGCGTGTTCTTGCAACGGGACTTCAGCGATACTGGCTCCAAGACATGAAGCACGGAATTACTCACCCCCTGCGGAAAAGAGTAATGTACCAGTAGAGACCACTGATGATACTGTTGAACTGGAATTCCTTCTCTCTGACAACCTCAGATTCTCTAAACAGCAGTAGCTGTGATGTGTTCAGGGTAGACCATAGTATCATCCTTGAGCAGGGGACCTTCCACACTGCTTAGCTCTCTCCTGGAGTTTGGGGGTTTCAGGACAAAGGGATTGGAGACGCTAGAGGTGGTTACTGGAAATGAGGTTGTGATGAAAATTTTTCAGATCCCAAGGGACAAAACTGGACTGATAAATTTAGGAATGAAAAAGGCAGGATTTTTGGTTTTTTTCTCCTACCATTTGATGTTTGATACAGGGAAAAGCCTGAACTCCTCAGAGTTTCCTATTCCATTCTCTGGCAGTCAAGCAGCTAAGGAACAGAGGCCATGGTGCTTTTCTGGGAGGAAGCTGCCTATCCCTGTTAGGGGATGAATGGGTAAAAGCCTGGCTGTGGTGACAAAGTTTCTCTCGAGATAGTAAAGCCTTGGATCTTCCCAGCTGCTTCTCCAGTACCAACTGGAGTTACAAGATTTACTGTAAACGTGTGTGTCATAAATCTTCCGTTTTCAGAGAGGAATTGCTCATCCTGTACAAAACCAAGATAAACATGTATAGCTGTCAGAGGGAAAAAAGTTGACAGAAATAAGGAGGAAAATTAAATTCCATGTCCTCTATGATTTAACGTGATTTTAAAAAATCCACTAGCCCCAAAATGATAAATACACCTTTCTCTCTTCCATCTTTCAGTTTCGGTTGCTCAAAACCCAGGGATTTATTTTTGCATGCTGCATTAAAATAAGGTTTTATTTGTTCATGTACGTTGTAACAGCTTCCTATTTGCACGTATGAGATGATGCATAACGTAAATGAACTGAGCAAAGAGGGAGCTTTTACAGAGGTGAAGATACTGCGGTTTAATATTCCAGCATTAGGAATATGCCTCCTTCAAGCCTCAGTTTCTTTCCTTCCTCATGTACGTATTAGGATCATCGCTGACATTCCAGCCCCTTGGATGTAGCTAATCCTCAGCTTTGCCAGCATTCTCCTCTCCCACGGTCAGATGGCCAATGTCTGGCAGTGACTGACGCGTGGATGAAGAGCTGTGCCGGGAGAACAAAGCCTGAACTGAGCTAGTAAACTAACATCATCGCTCTTTGCTTTCTTTTAAGAGAACTAGACTACAAATCGCCAGAGGGAGCAGAGTCGCAGATCCATACTGGTGGATTGTTCTTCTTAGGATAATCTTTCTCTTACGTTTATTTCACTTCAGGCTTTTACTGATCTGATTTCTGGAGGGGTGGTCTTTTCATGGTCTGCAAGAACACTAAATAGAAATGTGACGAAAAAGTGCCTGTTCATAGCAAGCAAAGTGTTGTATGGACAGTCACACAGTAAGACATGCTGAAGGCTAAAAATGAATGGGCAAGAGGAGAGAAAACGTCGGGGTTCGTCGGGCTGGAGTACTGGGGTGGTGTTCCTGGCCACCAGACGCTGCTTTTCTGTGGTGATTTTAAAAAAACAAACAAAAAAAGCCTACTCGGTTGTTTTCCAGGCCAAATTAATTTATATTCATTCAAATAAAAATGCTAACAGTCTACCCCAAAGCTGTGAAAATCCGAGATAAAGATTCCAGCACACCCAAACTTACAGAAGATGGAGCAACTTCAGATGCAGACCCTTGCTTTGCGTCACCGCCTGACGCTCGGTGTGCAGCCCTACATGCGTGCCTTTGCTCCGGAGCTCAAGTGCAGTTCATCCACAGACCAGGCGCCAGGAGGACGCTAGTCTTGTAGGTCCTCTAGCCTCTGAACCCCAGAACCTCACTCTTGGAGGTGGAGGCCTAGGTGCCTTCAGAACGCAGGTGATCTTCCACCGAAAGGGAAATGGGATACTTCCATATGGTGCTTTATTGCTCCGTTGACCAAGGGGAACAGAGAGAGCTCGCTCAGGCTAGCTGCCAAAGTTTTCAGATGTTGCAAACCTTCTTGATCTGTGTTCGGGAAAGGGCAGTTTTGCTCACCAAACTCTTTTGTATGTTCAGGTTGAATAATCTGGTCAAAAAACACATACCCATTTTTTATTTTTTTTTTATGTTTGGGTTTGTTTTGAAACACTGAAGAACCTGTGGCTTGCCTGTGTGTATCTGGGGACGAGTGTAAGAACACTGATTGGTTTTAGGTCTTAAAAAATCTTGATGTTTTGAAAGCATGAAAATACTGGGGGGTGAGGTAATTAAAATCTATGGGAATTTTCAGATGCAGGTAGTAGCCTTTCCTGCCCAGGTAATATTGATAAGCAGTGTTGCTTTGATTTAGATCCCCGTCATGAAATGATTTTTTTACTTCAGAAAAATTACCATTGCGCTTTTCGTTAAGTAGGTATCAAAACATAAAAAATTTGGATCTCACTGGTGTGGTGGACAACCCAGTCTAAATGTTGAGCTGAGATCCACCCCTCTGGTGGCATCTGGTGGCCTTACAGGAGGTTGGCTGGGCGCAGAGGGAGGTGCGGTGCGTGGCCATGACGAGTTCAGGTGGGAGTGCTAATGCATCACAAAATGCATCTGCTGATCTTCATGTTCATCTGCGCTGAAAGGCGGGTATCTGCACCTGGATTTTAATGTGGTTGTCTCCAAAAATGACAGCCAGGCTTGAAGTAATCTACAAATGAGTTTGGGTTCTGAATCTCTCCTTAGGAGGGTGTTAAAGAGTGAAATACTTATTGGTGAATGAGATGTACCTCTGCATTAATTATCCTGTGTAATTGACGTGTAAATCAAAAATTACAGCTTGAGACATGGTTGAGTACTGTAATATTTGGCTGATACTTTGTCACAGTTCTCTAATTTGTATAAAAGCTTATTCTTTTCTTACTGTTAATAAACTATTGCCCCGAAAAAGGATAGATCTGTGTTTATGTAGTTGCTAGATTCTTCTACTCCTCCCGGTTTAAAAACCCCCCAACTGCATTAAAGCAACACATATAATGAAATAGCCTCCTTAAGGAAAGAGAAGGGGAAATCTGAATCGTGAGCTTCGGCTCAGGTTAAACGTACCTGCACCCTGGGCCTGGACAGGCTTCTCAGAGCCATGCACTTAGAAGTGGAGGGGAGTTTTTTTTTTGTTTGGTTTGGTTTTTTATTTATTTTTTTGGCAGGTTTATATGCCTTCTAGCTTCTGATAATCCCAACTGTACTGCTGGCTGAACCGAAATGATCCTTCTCCATCGCGTCAGAGACCCGAACAAGTTTCGGTTATATTTGGACAATTTTCTTAAGAAATGTGGATAGAGAAAGAATCCAATTATTGAACTTTAGAAGTCATCCAGAGAAAGGCTGGGGAATTCACCGACCGTGTTTGCGTGTCTGTTTGCAGGCGCGCTCCTCGTGGCGCGGGACGGGCTCCCGGGAGCGGCGGGGCCGACGCGTGAGCAGCCGTGGCCGTCTCCCCGGCCGGAGCGTTGTGGTGGGAGGGCTGGGCAGCACTCGCTGCGGGTCCTGCCGCCGCAGAGCTCTACGCAGCCTGACTGGACCTCGGGTTTGGTACCCGGTCTGATGGACGCAGTCTTTGTCAGCCTAGCCAGGAACCGAGCGACCTCTGAGGATGCGTAGCTGAGGTGCTGGAGCTGTGGCTGTACTTAAGCGCGGCAGAGAGAACATCACGGGGCTGTCGAGATTGGAGAGGGGCCTGTGCAAACCGTCTGATAAAACTACCTGGGGTGGTAGCGTCTCTGGAGCAAAAGTTGATCCTTCTGAGCCCTGCTTAAAAGGGAGCGGCGATGCAAAGGCCTTTTCTCACTGTATCGCCACCTTTAGGAACTGCTTCAACTGCTTAATCACTCCGTTAAGGGTGAAGTACTCTGGTTCTTGAGGGCAGGCTGCAAGAGGCGGCCGTTTCCTTCGGCCCATAGCCAGTAAGGTGCCGTAAAAGTTCAGCGTGCATAAATTAAGCCAACATTTAAATCCCTGTGAAATCAGTGGGATTAAAACATATGACTAAACCCAGGCATTTGGTAGAGCTCCTTTGGCTTGTGATGCCCTTTCAGAACTGAAGCCTTGGGGTTTTTTTTTCCTGAAGTGCAATTGTTTGGGGATCACACTTCCCTCTTGCCTGAAGCATCTGCTAGGCTGTTACCTACGCGTTTGTTACCTGGGTTTGGGTGTTGAATAGGTTTGGAAGAAAGGGTTTAAGGGGATCCAAATAAGCTTGGGCTTCTCCAGCAAGGGCAGCGTTCATACGCTCCAGAAAGGCCAGTGCACCTCTTGCATTCCCCCCCCCCGCAGTAAGGTGGGGCAATTTAAACGCAAGAAGCTGTGGTTGCTGCAGCACCAACCTTCTGAGCGTGATCCTATTTCTAGGGAGCGATAGGAGTAGAGGAGCATGAGAGGCTTGTAAAGAGCTCTCCAGAATTAATGGTTTGGGATTCATTTGGTCTTTGGTTTGACGTTTTGAATTTCACACCCTCGGCCTTTGCTGACTCTGCTGGCCGTGCTCTTGGCTGATCTGTAGCAGGGGCAGCACGGCACCAGCTGCCACCGGCTTTGGGAAAGCATCCTCTGTGTCGGGGCAGACCGCCAAAGGAGATCCGCACCGTTGGAAGCAGTGAAACATTTGTGTTGTCCTGTATGAGCAGCTTTCTCTGCCAGCCCACTTTGTTTTCTGCCTTCTCCACTTTGTACCAGTTCTGTAGCGCAGAAGATTTCTCTCTCGAGGTGTTTCTTGAGTAGCACTCTGAAATCGTGGTGCTGGGGGTAGGTTTAGTAGGAAGGATTTTACAGTTCTGCCTAAGTCTGTCCTAGCGCGCTGTTAACCGTTTGTCAGGCTGCGGGACCCTCGGAACAGTTGCACATCGTGAAGGATCAGGTGGCCAGGATATCATTTTGGAGCTCAAGTTCCAAAGCCAGAAGTATTAACTGCAGCAATTCCCTGACCTGATTTTTGGCACAGCCGAGATGTGAAACCTTCGTGTGGTAGAGATGATCAGCCGGTGTTGCTGGGTTGCACCATCTGACACCAGAGGTCACGGAAACCAGTGAACTTCATACCTGATGTTGGGATTGTGGGGAGACAAGAGCCAAGCATGATGGGTGAGGTTTTATCCTCAGCCTAGGTCACACAGCGCATTGACCCAACGGAGTTTCTCAGGGTTTCTTTGCGCAGTACAAGACGTCGTTACTTCTCTAGGGAAAGGAAAATAATTAACTCTCTCCTGGCTGAAAGCAGGACACCCATTCCTGACTAGGGAAGCGCAAGGCATGTCAGTGTTACTCCTTCCCTGCACGGAATTTTCATTCAGAGTAAGATCTGCTCGCTTTTTGGAGCGTGGCATTCTGAGATCCAGGGTGTTTGCGATGAATTGGAGGCAGGTTTAGGGTATCAGGTGTGGGAGGAGGGGCTGGGAATTTGGGGGGGTTGGGGTGGTTTGTTTTTTAAGTTTGATCATCCTTTTAGTACAGTCATTGCAACAGTATAGGAACGGAGTGAGAACACCTCCCTGTTAAGGAAATGAGGCAGTTATTTAATTCCTGAAGTACCACAGCTGCAGTTTAGTCATGCCAGGCTTATTTTAAGAGCTAAGAAGAAGAAATGCTGTCTCCCGTCCTTTTTTGTCGCCCCGCAGAGCGAGCACGAGGCCAGGATCCACGTGGGCATGTGTCACCACCGCCACCGGCCCCCGCACCCCCCTGGGTCGCGACTGCGGCTTCCCCGTCCCTTCTTCAGAGAGAATCGTTCCAGCCGTTGGCCAGCACCGTGCTTTCACTTTTCGAAGTCAAATCAGTTTGAAAAGTCTTCAACCTGCTACGCAAGTGACTTCCCTAGGCCTGAGATCAAAGAGCTGGCGGGTGCCTCCCGCGCTCTCTTACCACTTCGGGCGCTGGCTGGGATGGATCCCACCTCCCGAAGGAGGGGCAGCGCTGCTCTCTGCCCCGCTCGAGCAGGAGGGGTGCGGGCACGGGCGGGCACGAGTCGTCCCACGGGGCACGGTGCCGCTCCCCTGCCCATTGCCAGCAGGCAGACCGGGAGCCTCTCGGAGCTGAAGCTGCTCTGGCCAATCCCCCTCTGAATCCGCTGGGTTTCGGTGCTGTAGGGATTCAAAGCGGTCCCAGGATTCTCCTCTGCTCGCGTCCGGCTCTCTTCACGCCTGCCGGCCTTCCTCCCGGCCTTTCCCTGCTGGTGGGTGCCGGCAGCACCCTGGTACTGCCTCACGGGACCAGCTGAGGATGCGGCCAGGAATTTGTAAGAGCTGCTTTGAGACTGTCAGAATGTACCAATTCTGATATCTTTTTTGTCTGCAAGAAGCGTTGTAGCCTTTCGGGGAAGTACAGAGCAGCTATAAAACACTGACTTGCTGACACTCCCAGTTTTGCAGGCTTTGCTTCATGCCTGCCTTGGTGACAAGCAGGGAACTGCTGGGGGCTCCTTCAGCACTGCAGCCGCGAAGGAAACATTTCATGTGAAACACCCGTTAGATTACCAGCCCTGCTTTCAGTGGAGATGGGCCCATTTTAATCAGCAAACAGCCGCGCTTCGTGCCAAGCCATTTATGTCCTGGCAGGCAGAGAAGGCGGCTGTCTGCGGGCTCCATCCCAGTCGCGGGACCATTTGCTGGTTAGGGGGGCGTGGGTCTTGCAGCACGTAAATCGGAGCTGGGACTTGTTCACTTGCTTGGAGAGGGTGCTGTGGCCCAGCGCCAGCTCCCGCCCGGCGCTCTACCCCCCTCCCTGGCAGCGGGGACCTTCTGGTGACCCCCCCTCCTCCCTCAGACCCCTGGGCCGGGGACGGGAGGCGGCGAGCGGGGCTCTGCCGCGTGGTGCGGGTGCTCCTGCACGTGTGAGCGGAGCAGGGAGGTGCGGGGCTCACCTCGGCGCTGGGGTCCCAGGAGGTGCGGGGCTCACCTTGGCACTGGGATCCTGGGGGGCTCACCTCAGCGCTGGGATCCCAGGGAGGTGCGGGGCTCACCTCGGCGCTGGGATCCCGGGAAGCTTCTCCATCTGCTGTTGCCTACGGGGCTGCTTTTAGTGCGCAAGCTTCAGAGCTCCCGTGCCCGAGATCTTCGGTCTGGGTCTGGGTTTCTCAGTGCTGGTGTCACCGCCGCTGGAACTCGGGCATCAGTTTTGTTGTCAGAAATGTATTCTCTCCTTCCTGCCGTCCACCGTGCAGCGGGAGGGGAGGGGAGTGAGCAAGGTGCAAAACTGTGGCTGAAGTTTAGGGAATAGTTTTGACAGGAAAAAAGAAGAGATGAAACATTTTGATTAAATCAAGGGTTTGGGCTGTTGTTGGCGCAATTGTTCTTCATTTTGCCTCCAAGTTGCGCAGATTCTCCAGGCTCTAATGGTGACAACAGCAATGCCCCTCGCTGTGTCTGCTTCTTGTCCTGGCCACGCTGTTCTCCCTCAGAATCCACCAGCTGGCAGCCGGAGCGCCTGCGGATCAGACAAGCCAAGCTCACCTTGCAGCCTTTGAGGGAGGGGGGTGCGGTACGAGTAATAACAGTCATTAAAAAGCTCAGATTGCTTCTCCCAGAAGAGACTTTTTTCTGCAAAAGGACCCTGAAGTTCCCTATTGCCCCTGGGTGGGTGTGGATGCAGATGGAGTGGTGAGATCCTGCCTAACCAAGCGTGGGCTTTGCCCTCCCTGAGGCCCGCGCAGCCGCCCCGTTTTGGGAGCGAAGCCGACTGGATCGCGGGAGCTTGGCCTGCCTGCGTGGCTGGGCTTAGGGCCACCCGCTGGCCCTGGCTTCTGAGGCTACCACGTGCGGCTGC